ATCTCCAATTTCAAGCTCGTCCGAATCCTCACGAAACAGCGGCGCAAACGGAGCGACAAATGCAACAGCAAAAAGGCGTCAAATTACTACACGAAGCGTCCACGCGCTTTGCGTAAAGCGGAGAGGAACGAGCAGGCTCTCCGAGACACCGGGCGGCCGATTATCGACGATATTTCATCAAAGAGACGAGTCTACTGGACGAGCAAACGAACTTGGCAACCTTGGTTAGAGAGACCAGAGATAGAGAGAGAGAGAGAGAGGAAGAGAGAGAGTTTTCCCGGAAATCTCGCGGATTCGATCCATAAATAAGCCCGCGGCAACCTATCCGCGCGATCTACGCCGGAACTTTGTAACCCTAAAATAGCGGAGGAATGGCTGCTCGTCACGAAGTCTCGCGAGCCGCGATGCTAAGGGAGTCTACCAGGGCTGCTCCTTGCGGTTTCGCCGTGTACAACCGTGCGTTGCCGGCACGTACCGCGAGCGATGGAACCGCCGCGATATAATCGATCCAGCGTGTAGGAGATGAGAGGGTAACGAGCGTTGTCACGACATGGCCGGGGAATCTTGATAGAGTCTGCTCGAGCGGAGGATGGTAGAGCAGAATGGGGGATTTCGGGGGCTGTTTGTTGCGATCGAGATTGAGGATAAAGTCCTCGTTTCGGTGATGTAATGAATTTGTGACTGGCTGTTTCGACGGGCAGGGTTTAAAGACACTGGCTTTAGGTAGTTTGATACTCACTAGAAAATGACTGTGACGGAAAGCGAGGTGACACAAGTGGATCTAGTGAAAAATTGTCGTCTAGGGACTTTCAGGCCAAGGTGGCCCTCTAACCTATTCTCCTACCGTTTCAATCTTACGTATCGAATAGAACGATTCTGCCAAAGAACACGATGAAGATACCACGTTTACGCGACGTTAAATCGCGAAAATTACAAATTATCTCTCATCACACGCGCGATGAATGAAGTATCGTCTCAATAAAAGTCGCTGGCTGGCCGAGATAAAACCAACGTCCGCGAGAAATATTTGCCAGTCCATCGGTTTGATCGTCCCACGGTATCGGACCGCAGATTTTTCGTTGTCGTTGTTGTTGCTGCATAGATTGGGGAGGGTCGAGCACGTGTACGCGTGCGTATTTTTTTTCTTTTTTCCTATATGCAAAATAACACAGCCCACACACACACACACACACACATATATATATATATATATATATATATATATATTCGTCCTGGGGCGTGTTACACGCAGCGTCTGTTCAATTGGCCCTCCTCTCGTTGTATAGCGAGCTTTAAAAAACGATCGACGCTTCACCGACACCTGTCAGACAGAAAATAACTCTTGTCATCGTCGCGATCGACGCGGGGGCTCGCGAGCCAACTGCGAAATTGTCGCTGCTGCACGTGGTCAGCGACATCAAAGCCCCGCGACCTCGTCCACGAGTATTTCTTTGATCGCGAGTCTGGAAATTGAAATTGTCGATATCTCTCTCTCTCTTTTTAAATTCCCTTTTTTTTCAATTCTCCCTCCATTTTTTTTTTTTTTTTGGAAAACGACACATCCGTTTTAATAACTGTGTGTTTGGTCAAGGGCTCGATAGGTAGCTCCCACGAAACTACCTCTCTCATTTGCCACGGCGAGAGTTCGGCTATTAAAAGTGTAATCTAGTTACCTCTTTCCCGATGAACCTAGAATCGAGGCCGATTGATCTTTAATAACGTAACTTGAAGCTTCTTTGCGCCAGATCGGCGCGAAATTCCCTGGGACACGTAAATCGGGCTGGTGAAAGCGCTCGGGGGCGTGGAAATTTTGTATCCGACCGTTATTCAATTATCTGATTTCCCTTTAAGACACCTACGCTCGGCTCGTTCGCAGTTTAACGGCTCGCGATACCGATACACCGCCCCTCCTCCGGCGCTCTTGCTTGCTCATCGTCGGACGCAGAATCGTAAAACCGGTCGTATCGAGCGTCGTAAAAGCCATCGAGGTTCGGCGCTCTAAAAGGCGGCAAATTACAGTCGCCTCGTACGAGAATGAAAGTAAAAGGCCCGGGCTGGCAACGATCTCTGGGAAAAATTCCTCCTCCCCTTTCATCTTTGCTCTTCATTACCGACGTGTCTTTATTACTCCCTGGTTCTTTTTACCTCGACGTGGAAATATATATATATATATATATACGCAATAAAGGGGAAAACCGAGTCGTTTCGATCATTTCCGATCCCTTTAGAACCTTCCTGATTGATAATTATTCGGGACAGGTGTCTTCGGAGGAAGACAGAAAACTCTATCGACCTGCATTGGCTCGGATTTCTATTAAAAAAATTGGCCGAGGTGTCTGTCAAAGTTTCCGCGAATTCATAAATCTCTCGTTAATTCCCAAACTGAAAGCTCGGAGCGAACGGATGCGTGAAAATGATTCGGAGCGACAGAGAGAAAGGGGGAGAAACGAAAAAGAAAACGGCCAAATCCAGAAAAGCAGCAGCTCGCACAGAAACTGGCGGAGGCCAGGTTTCTTAATCACTGCCTCTAATCGGTCGGAGCTGGGCTCATCAATCTCTTCGCGCCGCGTCAAAGAGACTGGGAGTTGTATAGTTAATGAGGCCGAAGCGTAACGCTCGCGGGTCCGCCAGGAGCCTCTCGCGTCGGCCTTTCAAAGCGTGTCGGGTGAAGGAGGAGCAGGAGAGCGAGGGGGAGGGGATGGGGCGGGTGTCTTGTTAATTATTCGACGTTTGCTTTAGTTTAGACCGCGTAATCCGCGCATTATTCAACAGCGAGCCGCGCATCCGCGGCACCGGTTATCAATAACATATGACGCGGAGCCCACGGCCGATTTGAAATTATGCGTTTAACGAGGCTTAAATATTGCACGCGTACATATGTCGTAACGCCGCGATCGCTAATCTCCCCCGCTGGATTTACGTTCGACCAATCCCCCCCCCCCTCCCCCCTTAAAATCTCGCGGATCGATCGTATTATATCGAATAAACCCCCCTTCATCCCTTGCCTCCACCTGTTTCTCCTCTGCCTACGTGCATTTTGCTGATTGCATTACGTTCAGACGAATTATTTATCGGCGCGTTGTTGAAAAACTATGAATCCCGACGTCGGAGTTCAAGAGCGAAACCTTGGTGGAAAGTTGAAAATGTCGTTGAGTCGTGTGACTCGGAGAGTGAATTGTCGACAAGAACGAAGAAGGATACCCAGGCTGAAACGGCCGATTCGGCAAACAACCTGAACGAAACAGCGCGTCAGCGTGGGGGCGTGGATAATAATTAGAACGCGTGTACGCGTTCGCGAGGGAAGGGTTCAACGTCGATCCTCTGATCACGGGTCCCTTGTATCGAAGAAAGGCTCGTTAATTGAACGCCGGCGGCATCGTCTCGCAGTTGAAAATTAGTCGAGTCTTCAGCGACCCGTCGCTGAACTTCAACGATCCACAAAGAGACTAACCAGGCCGGCTTAACGAGAGCGCGGAAATCTGAATCTCCAAAGACGATATACGCGTTCACGCTACCCACCTTTAATTCATCATCGAGCAATCTTCGGAGGAGTTTCGGCGCTTGTGGATAACAAACTAGCGCCACCTGGATGGCCAACACCACTGGCCCGTGTTTCGGTTAGGTTTCTCTAGCTTCTCTAGTTTCTTTCGAGACAGAAAATATTAAACAAAATACTAAACAAAAGGAACAAAGTCGCTGAGAAAAGAAAAGACGCAAGCTTGGTCTGATTAAATATCAATGTCCAAGATAGGCAAAGAATATCGAGCGAAAAAAATATCTTACGTTCTTACATTCCCCGATGGCTGGCTGTGTTTTCACGCTTCGTTCAACACGAGGGACGGGAGGCGGCAAACAGACTCGCCTAATTTCAAAAACGTGCACACAATTTGGTAAACAGCACGCGCAAACATCGGAGTCGTGGCTCATCAATCGATCCGCTCATCAAAACTCGCTCCCGCGCCCGTGGCCAGAGCGTCGGCCATTTTAATTCCAACTAATAAAATCGCCGGGAACGTGCTCAACGGAAGTTGTAACGAAATTTCGCCCCCGGTATTCGTGGTGGAACAATGTGCATCGAGAGCGTAGTCTGAACGCGATACGCGAGCTCTCATGAATTCCCGATGAACAAAATGGCAGGTGGCACGCATCGACGCAACCGTAATGGCGTCTGAAAGTGTCTCCGACGCGCCTTTTGTCTCTCGCGATCGCGAGACGAGATGATTCAGCTGACGTAATTGAAAAATTTATCCAAAAATTCGGTTGTCGGTCACTTTGATCTTATTACCGGGGCGACGAAGAGCCGCGGGAAGCTATCTTCCGAGCTGTTCAACGATGCAATCAGGGAACAATGCTCGTAACCGATCTCGGCCGCGCTGATTTCCGCTCGTTTTTCACGCTCGGCAACTGCTGAACTTGCTCAGGGCGATTTGGCCGAGGCGCGAGTTGGAAAGAAGGGCAATTTCATTGGCCTCGGCCGGTAATGAGATAAATCGCGGATTTGCTGATTAGCAACGCTCGCAAGATTGATCGCGACTAGTATCGAGCTGTTAAGCGCTTGAAACTTTCTTGATATATATATATATATAGCTATAAATGTAAACGTTCGCCTATGAAACTCGCGTTCTCGAGCCTCGAAGCTCTTGATTTCATTCTCGAACGCTGTTCATTTTTGTTAAATGTTATTAAAATTCTGCGCGACAAAGAAAAGAATGCCACTGGGAGATCATAAATTACTAATCCCGATGAAATTCCTGAAAATCACTATTGAATCTGCGTTGGAAAACACGTGCAACGGTAGAACAAGTTTTTAAATCATGCTGATAGGTGCACGCAACGTCGCTCGTTATCTTTTATTAGCCGTCTGCCGCAATTACTTCTATCTAAACGTTCTGCATTCCAGTTTATATTCGATAAAGGCGCATTTTGTTCGTCGGATGGTCTAGATTCGCCGTATTCCCACTCGCAACACAGCTGTGAATTATGTGTCGTACGTACGTACGTACGTACCCTTGAAATCGCGAAACGTTCCCTCAGTCGTCATCGAAGTTTCATGGGCGTCGCATGCTTCGCGAGTCTCGCCTCTGCGCGTCTAGTGTGTTTTTGTCTGGTCCTCTCACCGGTGTGCGTGTGTGCGCGCGTGTGTGTGTGTTTTACGTTAGCGCAACCTGCTTGAAATAACGCTCGAGCGTTTGGAACAACAAGAACGAAAGGTACATACGTATAAATAGCAGCTGTAGTTTGGTAGCGTGGCAGCCAGCCACAAAAGGCATGCAACTTTTAAACGTAGGAGACATTTTTGTCTCGATAAAGCGGCGAGTGTATGCACACGGTGGCTGCAGGAAGTATTTGCCTACTACTTCAGTATTTCATTAGCTTCTGTGTTATATTTTTACGTTATATTTCATCGAAAGTTGTGAGAGCATGAATTTCGCGTCGATTGTACATGTTTGGATCTGCGAGTCTCTTAAGCTCGATTAATACCAAGTCTGATCGAGAACAAAGTATTTGGACCCGTTAAGGAACAAATAGGAATTTATCTTATTTCCACACGCAATAGTGGAAAATTTTCGTACACGAGTCAGAAATAAGCGAGTCGATGTTTATCTCTTCTTTTTCTTTTTTATTTTATTGGTTTTCAGGAATTTTTTTCTCTGTTTCTCTCTTGCTTAAGCACCGTCTTTTTGAGAAGTAGCTTCCGGCGGATATCCGGCTACTACTGAAAGGGCAGAGGGGAGGGATAAAAAGTCAACAGTGGCCCGAGAATTGGCCGAACCTGGACTTTCTTAAAATCTCGTGGATTAGTGTTTTTATGGAAATTACTCGCCGAAAAAGTTGAAACATAAACAGACACACACACACACACATACACGTGAGCATGGTATTTCTTCGAATTAGAATTGGTCCGGACGTTTTGCTCCTACCGCGAGAATGTTTGTCTCCCGGCCATTTATATAATTAAATTACGAATGGCCGTTTCTTAACTTTCGCCTCGAGTTTATTTCGAGTTCGCTGTACCGATGAGAATTACCTCGCAGTGAGATACGTTTCAATTGGATTTATTTGGTTAACTTAACCTCCGATGGTTTGATCCTTTTTTTTGTAATTCAAAGGAGAATTAGCTTAAGGAAGCGGGAAATAATACGTTTTAATAAATTCGAGCTGAATTGAATTCTGACTTTGTACATCTATGGATATATGGTCACTCGTAGTTCACTGAATTTTCCATACGATTCAACTTTGTTCAACTTTTTAAAACTCGAAGCCCTTATTTCGACATTCCTGAGCTGTGATTGATGAATTATAAATTTTCATGAACTATAAATTTGATGAATTATCAATTTTTATAATGTATTGATGAACTATAAATTTTTGAGATGCATAACGGGACTTGAAACTATAGAAAATTACAGAAGACTGTAAAAAATCATTGAAACTATTGAAAATTGCTGACGATTATTGAAAACTGCTAAAAACTGAACAGAAATTGCTACAACATATAAAATTGCTATACATAAAATTCGCCAAAATTGAAATGATATTTTTTTTTTACAGGAAACTTCACTTATTTTATTAAGTATAAAATTTCGAAAAAAAAAAGAAATCGTGCAGCAAGTTTCAGGAGAGGGGGGAGGGGGGGGGGTAAATTCAACCATGAAGAAAATTTTACGTTTGAATCAGTAGGGGAAACTTTCCAGTCGCTACGCCATGTAAAATATTTTAGAAAAAAAAAAAGAAAAAGAGAAAATAAGCAAACGATGAAAATAGTTTCATTAATCCACAAACTGACGCATTTAATTAACCCATTTCCTTTCTTTCCATTTCAGAGGAAACCAATGAGTGTTGATCTCCTCGAAACGCGGACCTAACCTCGAGCATGTTCGCCTGGACGAGCGACTAACCACCCTGCGGGAACGTGAGTACCAAAGAACATTCTCCCAATCGTAATTCATCGAATCGATCGAAACGAGATCGCTGGAATTTCTCTCGGAGCTATTCGATAAACGATCGAACCTAATTTCTCGAAAGAAATCTCGCGAGCGAACGAAACTCTCTTTTCCTTTCCTTTTATTCGCGGCACACGTCGCGCGTTTCGTTTTTGCTTGCAGCGAGCCGTAAAATTTCGAGTAGCCGGAGGTCGAGAGGGGAAAAAACAAAAGGAAGAAATGCGTGGCTGTAATTGCTTACTCTATCGTTCGCGAGCGCGTTCCATAATTGTTCGGTCTCGTTTTCTCTCTCTCTCTGTCTTTCGTTTTTGTTCGCGAGTTAGGAATCAAAAGACGAAGAAGGGGACGAAGTTTCACGAACGTTTCCAGCGGTACAATGACGCGGTGCGACCTCTTGAACGATGCGAAACTGGGTTAGACCGGCGAAAAGAGCACCTCTCTCATTCGTAAATAACTTTCGTCGGGATTTTTTTGGAATTTTTATTCAACCGAGACAGCCGTCGTCGACTCTTTCGTTGGCTAAAGATTGGCCAGAAGATTAGTACCGAAAGTCGAGAGGTTGTTTTACATTTGGGACGACTACAGGACGCCGTTCCTTTGAAGTTAATGGTAGGAAAAATTTTTAGAGACTAAAAGATCTCTCCCACACGAATTTTTACGTTTCTTTTCATTTACCCTGAACTTTAAAATGGAAATGTATCCTTTCTTCAGATACATTCGCGCAAATTTCCATTTGCTCGAGAATTGCTATTCTTCGTATCTTGGTTTATTTAAATTAATCACTTCGATCGATTTTCGAAGGCAATACCTCAGGATATTAAGCAATATTCGATATTAATTTTCGAGAAAGGTCGTTTCGCGTTGAAGCTTTGCAGTGTCGTCTTGAAATTCGACCGAGCGTCGGGCAGTTTTTAAAAGAACGCGAGGCCGACGCAAATGTATTCTGGGCCTCGGTTTCGTTTTCGTTGGCCGTGTCTACAAACGTACCGCGGCGTCGCGGGACGTAAATTTCGTCGCGCGATTATCTACATAATGGGCGAGCGTCGCGAGCGTACGTAAAATTTATCGTCCGACTTCCCGATGAAAATTCATATCTTCTCTCTCCGCGGCGGTGAAATTTTCTTGGCCCGTTCCGACCGAGGAACCGGACCTCCTTCCTTTCGTTCTTGATAAATTCTACCAGCCCGTCTGCTTGCGATTCTTTGTTTCCTCTTTGCGCTTCGACTCTACTTTTCTCGCTCAATTCCTATTTTTCTAGCAACAAATCAATCACATTATCCTAAAAAAATTAATCGCTAAACGAAGAACAGTTCGAAGTGAGATTTTGAATGGACAACTCCGAGTTTAATTAGCATTTATTAGAATTTCATCCGTGTATCTGTAAGAAATTTTCAAATTTTGCATCGCGAGTGCAGCTCTTGCTCGTCTATTGATAGTTATACGAAACTAGCAGATTTGGCAAACACCAGAAATGTAGGTTGACCAATTATCGAACAAATCAATCGGCACCCAAATCTGTGGCCCAGTTTGTATCTCGTATCGAATTAACTATTTACTAATTACAGTACCGCTTATTACCGCGAGTAATTCATAATTCTGCTATGTCATCCTCGAATCGTCCCGTGTCGAACCACGCGAGGTAATTAAATTAATAATTACTAATCTGCGATCAGAATCCCTCCAATTCTTCTTTTCCGTCTTGTTTATTATTATTTCGCTGATTTATAAAAAAAAAAAAAACACAAAGAAAAAGAAAAAAATAGATTCTAAAAATTTTCTTTTCTCGTCGTTCGAATCAGCCAGAGAAGTCCCTTTGCGGAGGGACACCCCTTACACGAGGGATGCGCGTGTGCACACAGGAAACCCGAAGGAAATATCTGGCAGACGCCGGGGAACGTGATATCCGAAGTCACTCACGAATTCATAGGATCCCTTTCTTCTTTGTTTTCCTCCGCGCGGCCGTGTAACTCGCACGCGACCACGCGTACCGATTCGGTAATGTTCCCGAGGATTTCCCGGCAATCTCGGCCCGCTTTCCCTCCAAATCTCCCGGCAATGAGCCGCGTGATGTTTTTCCAGCCAGGCCTCGTCCTCCTCCGTCTCCGCGTCTCTCAAGCTGACGGCCAGAAGCTGAATTTCGGATGTTTTCAGCCGACGCGTTTCCTCGCGCGCAACTATCGTTTCATCGTTTACTCTTGAGTTTTTAGGTTAGGGCGGACGGGCGTGAGAAGTTTTTCGGGATTTGCCCGAGCAGAATTGGATTCGCAATGGGGACGGAAGAAATCTGGCGTGATAGTTAACGAAATTTCGTCAGTTTCACTTCTGGTAGAAAAGTGAAGGGATTGAGGGCCAAGTTTGTATAAATTTCAGTTTCTAGAAATGGCAGAATTTCGTTCCGGTTGGATTCTGATCAATAGTCAGAATTAATCGAAATTTTCTCGTGTAATATAATTCTCTGATCCTTTGTTGTATAATACAAAACAACCTTTGTTGTATAAAACAAAATGTACGATTTTTTTCACTAAGTTTGTATAAAAATTCCAGTTTCTACGAACAGCAGAATTTCAGTTGGATTCTAATCAACAGTCAAAATTAATCGAAATTTTCTCGTGTAATATAATTCTCTGATCCTTTGTTGTATAATACAAAACAACCTTTGTTGTATAAAACAAAATGTACGATTTTTTTCACTAAGTTTGTATAAAAATTCCAGTTTCTACGAACAGCAGAATTTCAGTTGGATTCTAATCAACAGTCAAAATTAATCGAAATTTTCTCGTGTAATATAATTCTCTGATCCTTTGTTGTATAATACAAAACAACCTTTGTTGTATAAAACAAAATGTACGATTTTTTTCACTAAGTTTGTATAAAAATTCCAGTTTCTACGAACAGCAGAATTTCAGTTGGATTCTAATCAACAGTCAAAATTAATCGAAATTTTCTCGTGTAATATAATTCTCTGATCCTTTGTTGTATAATACAAAACAACCTTTGTTGTATAAAACAAAATGTACGATTTCTTTCACTAAGTTTGTACAAAAATTTCAGTTTCTACGAAACAGCGGCATTTCGTTTCAGTTGGATTCTAATCAACAGTGAAAATTAATTGAAATTCCCTCGTGCAATATGATTCTTCAATTCTTCATTCTATAATATGTAATGGAATTATATGATATTCTTTCGTTTCTTTCTCTGTTATATAATATATAACATTCGTAATATATCTTCATACATCGCACATAATATTATCTGTCTACCAAACCTTCGTTATTCTCTGTGTATTTAGAAATGAAATCCCATCGATCTTTCGTTCAGCAGCGAGATGTTAATCAACGTTCAAATTAAATTCAACGTACCAGTGTCTTAATAATATCCATCGATAAAGTTTCTGTATCGTTGACGTTTACATAGGTGGAAGATACGGAATGATCGATCAACGCTGACGTTTATCTCTGTGGGATTTTTATAAAATTGTTGTTTCTTCGGATTTTGTATGGGGAAGCACAGTGTGTAATATTATTTCCTTGGAATAATAAACGCTTTTGGAAAGGATTTTCTTAAAATCAGAAACGTTCTTATTAACAAACAATCCAACTACCTCGCCTGGCACAATCAATTTTCCGGCTCTCATCAATCCCGGGACAAACGTTTGCCAAGATTAATTTTCTTCATCGTCGAGTCGAAAAACATTTGGCAGAACGCGGAGGCTCACTCGATCGTTCTTCAAATTGTCGAACAAGAATCCGTGTTTCCGCTTTTTCCATTCGTTCCTACACGTACGATCGCGATCATTCGAGCGTCCTAGCTCGATCAACCTTTTCAAAGATCCGAGAAATATTAAAAAATTAAACTAATTTTAAAAAAAATAATTTGTCTAGAAGAAAGAAAAAAAAATTTATCTAAATTTAAGGATCTGAAAGATATTCAGAAAGACTAAGCTAAATTAAAAGACGAAGGATACTTTCGATGCCTGAAAAAATCGCGATCGAACCACGCGTCCAATTGAAAGTCGAGTTACCAGGACAATTCGCCGAGGCGAGATATCACCGTGATATTTTACTTTTTCCAATGGACGAGCGAAACGAAATTCGCGTACACAGAAGGGGTAATCCCCGTGAGTTCTTGGGTAACGGTCGCGTTTCCCATCCGGCGGCTGGGTGGCTGCAGTCTAACCGGAAGCGAAGAAAATTGGGAAGAACCAGTAGCCAGGTCGGTTCTCGTTGCACATGTACCACCGGGATTTAGGTCAACAATGTGGGGAGAGAAGCTGCCGGGTAGAAATAGACTGGGAGTAACCGATTGAAAGTATTCTACTCGATTTCGCCGCGATTCCGTGGAATCTTCTCGGCGAGCGTGGTAATGCAGCCACCTGCTTTACCGCCGGTTACGTGTAACGGGATAATCGCCGACCCAGTTCCCCCGGTGCTGGAACATGCTTCGCACCGTGTGTTCTAGTCGTTCGATCTTTTCCATTTCTCTCTCTCTCTCTCTCTCCTTGGTTCGCGAAATGGTGGTCAATCGCGGAACTGTTTCTGTTTCTGGCTCGCTCGATTTGAACCGAGGCGATGAACGAAGCTCGAGGATTTCGACGAGCATTTCGCCGGTCTCGTTCGGTGAAACGAAAGCGCGAGGTATCAAAGTTCCGTGTAACAGCGACTGGAATTAGCTCGAGAAAGAAAAATGGAAGAAACGGGTTAAAATGGCCCTAACGTCGCCTCGTGGTTCGACTATAACGTCGAAGCTGATCATCGTCACGCGTCGAAAGCTTCGAAGCAGCCGTAAAAACCGGTCAACTTCGTTTCACTTGGACTTTTCTGAAACGTTTCACTGGACGAATATTGAGTATGAGAGTGCGTTAATTTTATACTCGATGAGAAACAGCGGCGGTTCGAAAGGAAATCGTCCTTCAGACGTCTCGAAACAATGGCCGCGCGCGGAATAAATCCAGTCACGTTCTTCGCGTTTT